GAGAGAGAGAGAGAGAGCGCTGTGTTATTGCAGCATCGATAATTTAACCCTTTTTTGCAACCTTTAAAGTTTATTTAATAATTAATCTTCGTAGTTGCGTTACGCGAGTCTCGACGGATGCCTGTGTTCTCTTTTTTTCAATCATTTATTTTTGCAGGTTGCCAAAGGCTATAATTGATCCGCCCACTCTTCGTTAATAAACATTTTAATGTTCAGCGAACGTAGTCGCGTAAAAACTTTAATTTGTTGAGTAACTTCCGGTTGTTAAACTTCCCCGCCAAAGGTTACCTGTTAATCATTTTCCGCATGTAATTAACAAACATCGCGCCGTTGCAATTTTCCGCGAAACTATTTTTTTCCTGCGATGTGAACTCTCTTTGTTGCCGTTTCAGTTTCGTAGAAAAAATTTTATTTATTTCGAATGAAATCTTTAATTCAAACCCGATTGAATTAACGATTCGGTCTCCGCATAAACTTGTCTTCAATATAAATGAACGACCCAATTTATACGCAAAGATTCTTCATTTATTCCCAATTAGATGGAGATTTAATTAAGATTAAGATTTAATTTATTCTCAAAATATTTTGACATTATTAGTTTTTCAGTACGCCGATAGGAGGGGGTTGGCTAAAGGGTCAAAAGGTAAAGTACGCGAAACGGCGGGTTAACTTTCGACTGAGAGAGAAGAGAGAGGGGGGAGGGAGGAGAGAGAGAGAGAGAGAGAAGTTCCCGCCTTCGTTTTCGGGAAGTTTAAATATCATCCCGCCGTGTGAATTTCGGCGTGGAGCGGCGTCGCGCTCGCGGCAGATCGCGCGCCTCCGGGGGCCAACGAAAATGCCAAGAGCACAGCTCCTGGAACGAAAACGACAGGCGGTTAATGCACGAAGGAGCGGGGAATTAACACAACTCCGCCTGTCGAACGAAATTACCGTCTCGTGCCCGCCGTGCAGCCCCCGAAACTGCATATTCATGTACGCCACCGGATTATGCATCGTGTATACCGACGATCTAGTATTTCGCTGTGTTATTAATGCATTCGCCGTATACTCCCGTGATTCTAGCCGCTCGCTAAACCGCCACTCGTTCCCGGAGATTTGTACACGTGGATGCATCGTTTATTCCTGATCTACTTACATAACATGTGCGCCACGATAAATTTTATATACTAATTTATATGAAATATGATGCCATAAGCGTATGTGTGCGCAATTTAATATATTCCCTGCAACGGGTGTCGAAGAAAGCGGATGAACCTTCGAAATTGTGCCTTCACTTTGCCGCGTAATCCTTCTTTCGACTCCGTTGCTCGTTACAACAGCGATATATATCGGCTGGTCTTTCCAAGCCCCGTCGGTCTCGCGAAAATATGACTCATATCCTTACTGGCGAAACGGAGCTTGAATGAATCATCGTCGGGCGACCGAGGTTGTTTCTTGAAATTTGATAACGGAAAATAGCCGCACACAGGACAAAGTGACGATTATAGAACGGATGAGTCATTTCTTCGAAGCCTTTGCAATTTGAGTCCCTCGTGTCTTGACACCGACGCGTTGTCGCGAAGAAGAGAAACACCCTTCGATAATTCTCCACGCCTTTTTTCCTCAAACGCTTGTCTTAATTGATGTAAAGCGGTAGCATAGTGTTCTCCAATAATATTCACAGCTTTTCCTTTGATCTAAATGTGATTTGCTATAGCATTATCGAGAATATATTGAACGCTATTCGAAAATATGCACCGTCCAACAATTGAAAATATAAATTATTTATATATAAGAATTATAAATGATACACATGCGTGTTATATTATCTTCGTCGCGTATGCAGCAACAGATTATCGGCTGAAAATAAAGCGATGTGTTGAATAGGAGAGAGGCTCATAATGTTGTGTACAAAACTGTGCTTACAAGAAAAAGTTTCTTTGCGGAAGATTGCGTTATAAAGAGTTAAGTACCTAAAACAGCGGAGAGAAGAATCTAAGATCGCAAAGTGTTCTCGACATAAGCGCCGCCGCCTGCGCGGAATAAAAATGTTGAGCGAATTAACTAAACCGAAAGACGCGCTTTCGGTGACCGGAGGTGTATTCTGCAATTAGGATTTTCCTGCCTTTTTTGCAGAGCTTAAAACTAAAACTAACGAACCCTTTTCTTTCATTAACGTCGCGCGCAATAAACGATTTGTTTTATGAAATTTTTCACCAATAAAAGCTTAGCTCGCAAAAATTCACCTTCAATTACGTAGAATTAAAACTGTCCATCATCACGAAAATTAGATAGATTTGTTCGTAACAGCGTAAAGTGGCTACAATGACTCCATATTTTAATATTTAATATAAATTTCTTTTAATTAATTAAAATATTTATCTTCGCATATTTCACATGTCATTCCTGCTACAAATTTTATCCTCTAATCGATTTCTTATCAGCCAACTAATGGAATCAGATTTATTAATACTTATATTTCTTTTTAATGTCGCTTTACGTTCTCTTCTCTCCTTTTTCTTATATAAATCATCTATTTAATTAAACCGAAAATATGCGGACTCTCCGCTGGTTGCATCGCATACCAACATTCCCGCAGGAGATACGAAGGACACAGATTGCTCGGAGCAATCTCGCGAAAGCCGCAGACAAGCCGTGGACTTTTCACGAAAACTCGCGCGCGCGCGCGCGCGCATCGAACTGTCGTATATTCCGAGCGAGCTTTCATAAAGTTATGCGAAACACGTCGTGTCGAGCACAGCGGACGGGATGCTGCTTTCTTGCATCCTTGCTTGCTAGCAGCCTTGTCGCTGCATTATTAAGACGCGACCTCTCGCTGTAGAAAGTTCCATTGTTATCAACGATGATAAGCTAATTACGAGAAGTTCGACGCGCTTTTCGTGTCCAATTTATTCATCACTTCCGTTATTTGTTCCTTCCTTATCTCGTTCCGGAACTTTAATTCTTTAACCGTCAATATTCTCAATCTGTTAAATATTTTCCGCTCGCTAATTTATTCGCGAATATCTTGCTGTTTTCATCGCTTATATTTGCCGAAGGAAATTACATATCGGTTTTCAAGGTAGACAGTTATAACATATTTTTATTTATATTGAATTGACCTGAAAGTCCGTTCGCATTTCAAACAGAAATGAAACTCGAATATTAAACTCGAATATTAAAAATTAATATATAATTTTAACAGTGTGTATCCTTCCATCATTCTGTTTAATGATCTTAAATTAGTTCTTGGACGGATTCGTTATTCCGTCGGTGCAAAACTTGGTTGGTTTGTCCTTTATAAATAATGGTCTCTGAAAAGAAATTCTTCATCTTTTAAATGAAATTTTTCATCTTTTTAAATTAAAATTAAAATCAACCAAATGTAATCAGAAAATGTACACAATGTCAGAAGACAATACGGCAGATAACAGCATTCCGACTAATTACAATAATTGTGTTAATGGGAAATGAAAAATACATGTGATTGGGAGGAACGTAATATATTTACGATTCGCTAATTTCGAACATTCTTCGCCGATTGTTGCTTTCAGCTGATTCAACTGCAAGCAATACCTGTCTGCATTAATTGTTATATTACAACAATTAAATAAAGAAGCATAAAGCGAAAATTTATTTTCATAATTTGCGTCTTCAAATGAAAATTGTACGAGTGTCACTTAGCTGAGCTAAACAATTATTTGTTTGGAAATCACGCTTGAAAGAGTTATCAGTTATATATCCGCTTTGTTAGATTTACAGTGAAGTTGATTATGCAATAATAATAATTTTCACTATTATTATACGGCTAAATTTGAAGGAATTTTTACTTCAGCTTAAT